CCCCCCCCCCCTATGCTGCCTGTGGTGTGGTATGGATATTTTCTGTAATAACCCATACAACTGGGTGCCAGCAAATTTATAATTAACTCTTAGGGATTAAAACCTTGCAATGGGGGACTATCTTAAGTGACATCATCTTACATAAATATTCACTATGTATAGCACTTATTCCAGGCTGGAAATGAATACCCACATAGGTAAGATGTGACTGATTTTTTATTTCATGATAATATTGCAGGAATGTTCCTCTTTACACCATTTAAATGGCTCAGAAAATCGCTGCCATTTTGTCAAGTCAACTAATAGTTGTGAGATGTCTGAAGGATTTATTCAATACATACAGATTCCATATTGTTCGTTTCCTACAAATCTTGTTCCTCTTGCATTTTTCTTACTGGTATGTTAATACTGTAAGATTAGAGCTAAAAGATTATAATAATGTCACAAATTATGATATATTTATCATAATTATCATATGTAATTGGCAAATGGCAAATTGAGAGGTACTCAAAGTAAGGGTTCAGTTTAATGAACCTTTTTTACTACAACAAGAGAAGGGGGAATTTCCTCTTATATTTTGGTTAATAATATTATTTTTTCAGCAGTAAATTAATCACGTGACCAAATTTTTCGAAACATGAGTCTCTTGGTGATTAATTTGGGAAATCTATCCAAAGCAAGCTCAAGAACACCAGGAACTCCGCAAAAATTATTTGGATTTTAAAGGGTTTTTTTGTAAAAAGAGGGCTATATTAGTACTCCCCCTCCCCCTCCCCCTCCCCCACGTGATTAGTTTCTGGTTGTGAGGAAAAGCTATTTAGACTGTATTTTAGCGGAATCAGAGGAAGGCTGTTAGAGAAGCTAAAAGTGCTGTTGCAATGATTTTGTTATTTTTAAACATACCGAAAGTGGTTTTACGTTACCATTTAAATGTTTTTATGTTACCATTTATAAATGTGTTTGCTTTTCTGTATGTAAGGGCGAATTCTTAGGAAATCTGTGAAGAAATATCCTTTCCTTCTTTTTCAGAAAAATGCTGACATCAGCATTTTTTGAGATTCAAGGCCAATTATCATCTCGGAAAAATGAGTGGCAACCCCCATTTTTCTTTCTGGATTCCAATAGCCCTCGCAAAGATCTACTTTTTCCGCATGGTCCTAATCTGGCCCAAAAACCTTAGTTTGTATTTAGAAGGCACCGTCCTTAAGAATGCTAGTCCTGCTAGTTCATGTAGGGATAAGTTATAACTGATCTCTTGAAGTTTT